GTGACACCTGTACTATAGGCAACTATAAATGCGTTATTTTGCATGTAACCAGCAAGCAATGAAAGAATATCCCTAAAAATCACAAAATATGTTAATAAAATGCTAAAATATTGAAATTTAAGTTGATTTGGCGTGAGATTTTCATCGTAGATAACTGAAAATATATTTTTTCATTTATATAACCTACAAATATTACAAAATATGTTGTAAAACAATGAAATTTAAGTATTTTTGTATTTTTTGCCCAAATCATTGTTATATAGGCAACCAGAAATACACCATAAGCATACTAGGCACATCAACACCACAGATGTGAACATCTTTACTATAGGCAACCATAAATACGTCTTTTCACTTGTAACCTTCAAATAACCAAAAATATCACAAAATGTGCAAGAAAAAGTGTAAAATAGTGAAATTTAAGCAGTTTTAACATAACATCTGCACTGTAAGTAAACAAAAACACATTATTTATACTTATAACCTAAAAACAAGTCAAATTATTCAAAAAAACAATAAAATCCACAAATTTTTGTATTTCTTGCACTTAGTGATGAAATCCATCACATGCAAATGCTTAATTTTAACTTTAGGACTTATGGCTCTCGTTACAGCGCCCCGCGAGCTGTAATTACCTTGCTGACACTAATTCGTATATTAAATATTAATAGAATTAATACACACTCTTGTGTGCGTCGTTGGGTAACTAGGACAAAATCGGATATATTTTAAGAATTAAGTAATTACTCTCTGCATTATATATGCAACCAAACACACATAACCAAAAAATGCTAACCAAAGACACGCATTGTTTGATTTACAAGTCCGGCCGGAGTCGGTGTCTGCATGATTATTGTTTCAATAACAAAAATCAAGTCCAAGCACTCTCGGCCAACCTGTTGTGGGTTGTTTGCTCGGTCCAGCGTCGCTTTATTAACTTAGGATGAGTGCGCACGGTTTCGCGGCTAATTCAAATTCAACACGCACGATACGATAATCGACGGGGGTGGCCATTTTTATTATTATTGTTATCTAAACACACTGCGCATATATCAATATTTGTCGAGGCGGTGAAAACCTGTGCGTGCGCATTTTTGACCGCTGCGTCTCGAAATTAATATTTTATCATGAAAAAAAGCGCCGTGGCACGATAATGACGATGATTATATTTCGGTAGCAGACGCTCGCCAAAAATCCCATCGACACGCAATCGAAGCGAAAAAATTTTTGAATTTCAGAAGACCAGTAGCGAAAATTGCAAAATTAGGGAAGATATTTAATAGCTACCGGCCGCAGGGCTTCGTGGCGTGGTGTACTCACTTGATACCTACACGAAGAATGCAGATGTTTTTTTTTTTGTAAAGCAAAGATACAATCGAAATTAAATAATTTTTTTGTTGCAAAAATATTTAAAAATTTACTTACAATTTGCTCCACCCAAAAGGGTTGGATATTCTTTGAAAATAACTCCGCAACACAATTAAATTGCACGTTGCGAGGCTTTACACTCGGCTAAATACAATGATAGAATTACTCACCGGAGGTAAAAATTACAATCATCAAGCAGTTCTCTTTCTGTGCTTGTTTTTTTTATGTATTTCTTCAATTATTAGTTGTATATACGTGCGCGGATCTTGATTACGTGCAAAATTGGAGCACCTCGAGCATACGATTTCCAGAATCGCACAGCTAGCTGGCGCGCTAATCTTTTATAATAATCCGCTTGTTGTGTGCTGGGTTGTATGCGCAGAGCGCGCGATAATAACGATGTGATGATGATGATGATAATAATAATCGTCGGTTACCGCGTTACGTTTGTGCGCCGGCGCGAGCATCACACGCATTCTGTCAATAGTCGGCGAAAATTATGCTTTTCCCGTGAGATTTTTGATTTGGGATTGATTCTTATGTAAAATATTTCATAATCATCTTTTAAAATGCTTTAAAAATAATATTTTAATAAAAAAAAATTAAATTTTGTTGTTTTGTTGATAGGAATGAAAAATAAGATATTATTATGAACCAAGAGTGGAAAATATAGATTTTTTATTGTAATTACTTTGTATTCATTTGATTTTTATTTATACGCTTAGTAAATAACTATGGAAAGATGAATTTGTTTTTAATTCAAGAGTGGAATTACATGAAATTACATAGAATTACAATCACGTGCATGTAATTCATTGTTTTCCACTCTTAATATGTAAATAAATTCAAAATAACCTCAATTTAACAACAGATATGTCAAGTTTTGTTGCTTTAAATTAATTTCTTCTATGATACGACGAATAATTGTGTTTATAATCAGCTTGAAATGATTTAAAAAATTGCAAGTTGTGTAAAATTAAAAAATTTGCTTATTTTTTGTTCATACTTTACTGAAAAACATTGTTTTCCGCTCTATTTATGTAATTCTAGCTTTAACCCGCGGCTTCGCTCGCGAATATCTAAAATAATGAAGTTGCTTCCGTACGCGTCTGTAGTCACAGAAGAAGTAACAATGAAGTAGAATGGCGGGAAGTTTAAAATGGCTGAAAGTATAGTCTATGGAAGTATAGTGTACAGTCTCCATAGTGTAGTCAATTGGATTTGATGTTGACGTAGCTGTCGGTAATACAGTGTGATAATACAGTGTGATGGTACTATAGTACTTAGGTTTGAGCTTCATTGCTGGAATGCTAGATGGCGTTAAAGTAGTCAAATAGCCAGATGCAGAGGTATTATTGGCTAAACTATTTCTTTATTTTATTTAAAATATAATTTTTTTTATTAAATAAAAAGTAGCCTATAATCATTCGGGCACCACTAAGAATATGTGTACAAATTTTCATGATGATTGCTTAAGTAGTTTTTGCGTGAAAGTGTAACAAACATCAGGACTTTTGCATTTATAATATTAGTAGGGATAACAAGAGCGAAAAACAATGTTTTTGGGTGTTTTTAAAACAAAAAATTTAAAAAAAAAGAACAAATTTTGTGATTTTATGAGATTGGTATCTGTTTAATCATTTGTTAGCTGGTTATAAACTCAATTACTCTTGTAAAAATGCCGCTAAATATTTCCTGAAGTCTAAATATGAATTCCGCGTCGCTCAGTTGTATTCACTTGTGTTTTGTTTAAATGATTTTGTTGTAACGTAACGTGCATCCCAACAAATTAGCTGAAAAATCGTGCTTAAGTTATAGAAATTTGCATTGCAATTTTCCGGGATGTTGGGATCATAATTACAACAATATTACAAATGTTACCATCGATTTCATGTCTTTAAAAAATATTCTAGCTCATAATGACTAGAAATAAACATATTTTTCGTCATTTCACAGAAAAACTGTAATTTTATAATGAAAAAATTAATATTTTACTAAAACAAGTTTTTCTGCACTTAATTTAATAGCTAAAAATCAAAATTTCAAACCATATGCAACCATAGATACAATTAGTCTATTTTTTGACATTTTCTCCTCCAATTCATTGAATTTCCTAAAGAAAAACAGACCACAAACAGTTTAGGAGTAATATTCCATATTGAATTCATCAGCCAGTTACCCGCCTACGCGTTGTTTTTATTCATGCAAAGCTCTTTGTGCCAGACAGACGACACTCTGGCCGTCGTTGACTACAACTGCGCGTTGTATCGAATGACGTCACTTCCGACCTACCCTAAAGCCGACACCGCACGCCACACCATGCCGCCGGCACGTGACAACAACTCCTCTAGCCTGTCTAAAAATAAACATCATTTTATACGCATACTTCTCGATTTAAATCCGCACACACCCTAACTGTGTCTATGTCAAAACTTGCCTGCGTTACCATCCTGACCTTGAATAATAATACCACCAACCCTCGAAGACATATAATAAACGCATTTACTCATAGATCTACAATTTACATTTACAACGCTTAAACTGCATGGATTTTATAATTCTCGGAAAATAAACGCTACCTGCTATCGAAACACCGAAATTTATCACCAAAACTCGCATTCCAGCGGTGAATATCAACATTTCGGTTTGATTTTGATTTTGAGTAATTATTTGGTATTGGAAAACAAATTTGACATCCACCGCATGATTACTCATTATTTAAGTGTGTTTATTACGCCGATAAGAAAGAATTCCCATTTGGAATGATGTCGAATGGTTGAATTATGAGCGCGTGATAGTGATAAATAAAATTGAAAAAAAAAAAAATAATGTGTTTGAGAGTATCTATGGCTTGTATGGTTTCTGTTGCTGTGTACGTACACAAGGAAAACCTTCGGACAGATAACGAAACGTTGATCCCTTTGATTTAACCAGGGCTTTAATATAAAAATGACTAAGACCGTATAAGAAATCGAGTTTAATGCAATTTTCCCTTGCTTGAAATTGGATTAGGTTACCGAGATTGCGAAATCACATCCAAGTTGTGACATTAATACGATTTCTTAAAAAGCAAGGGTTGAAAACTAGTAAGTGCATGATTAATACGATGCTTGTGTTTCAAGAAAGAAGTATTTCTTGATTTTGCGTGAAATTTGAGTTCAATACCGGTAGGTTTTTAATTAAAAAACCGGTATTTTTATTTCTAATTTTGGATTGTTTTAGTATATTTTAATTTTGATGTTTGAAAAATACGGTATACCGGTTTTTGTAAAAACCGGTATTTCGGTATTAATACCGGTATTTTTAATCAAAATTTAAAAATTTTTTTATCATTTTCCTAAATTTTTAATTTTTAAAATTTATATGATTGAAATTACCGGTATACCGGTTTTTCTAATAAAAACCGGTATACCGGTATTAATACCGGTATTTTTTAATCAAAATTTTTAATTTTATTTTTGATCATTTTCTTAAATTTTTAATTTTTAAATTTTGTTTAATTGAAAATACCGATATACCGGTATTTTTTCATTCAAAAACCGGTATACCGATAAAAAAACCGGTATTTTTAAAATTTCTGCCTTTAAACAACCAAATTTTATTTTAATTTCTATCTATTTTTTTCTTTTCAGTCAAATCATGAAGAAGAAATGAGTGAACCGGAATCAACCGGAAATCATGAAGATGTTGACAGTAGTGATGAACTGCGACGACACAACAGCCTCCTGGCTGATCACGGTGATGTCCTCGCCAAGCTCAAGATGCAAGTGCGCGACATAAAGGTAGGGGTAAGTAAAAAACCGAGTTTTTAAGGTTTTTTACTCATTTTTTTCCGTTTTTCTTCAAAAATTCCCCAAAAAACAGGAGGATTTCGACCCGTCGCGTCTGCCCTTCCCGCTGAACAACCGCAGTGATGGCTTCCAACTGCCAGTACCATTTCCGTTCCCCCACCCGGCGGCGGCGTTCCTTCCGCCAATGGCGCCGCAGCAGACGACAGCGCCCTCATCGGGTAGCTCACACTCTTCGGAAGGCAGCAATGCCTCCTCACAACACACCTGGTCCTTTGAGGAGCAATTCAAACAGGTGCGTCAGGTATGTTCGCATTGATTATCAATTTTTTTCCTCTTTTATTTTTTTTTATTTTTGCGCTCTCGTAAAATATCGCTTTGTTCGCGAAACAAAACCGCGCTTAATTTGTATGCGAGCAGGGCAGAGTCTTTGTGTGCGCGCGTGAAAATTATGAAAATTTATTAAAATCGTAAACGTCGTTTGCTCGCGTTTCGTCTCTATATTATTAGCGCGGTTCCTGCGAAACGAATAAAGACAAACGCGCACCACCGCCCTCGACTTCACACACAATGGTTCCGACGCAGCACAACATTTATTGCATGCATATGTATCATCAGTGCATCACACTCGGCTTTATAATTTGGCATAATACAATTTCAACTTTTACTGCCTACCCGAATATGATTTATGATTTCTCTAAATGCCGGTGATATTTAGCCGCATTTATTAATATTTATTATTTTGCAAATTGCAGCAGACAATGTTACACTACATATGCAACCATACATCATAACCTCATAACTATAGGCAACCCAACATACATGTTTTTATTTATTTTTGCATTTTTATGGTTTTTATGAAAGAAAACAGAATGTGAATGATGTTTTTTATCGTGCGAATTGCGTATTGCACGTTTAAATTTAGTCCACATGCGATTTTAATATTTTTTCATCATCATCCAAGCCGGCTTCTTGAGTATTATGTTTCGAGACGAGAGACAACTGGACGTAAAGCGGCGTCGTTTCAAATTCATTAAAATGATGCTGCCGCTTTGATATCCGCAGATTAATAGATGCCGAATCTTTGATGTTGAGCGCGAGTTACGTAAACAATCTTTTCGGCAGCGAGCGCGGTGAATCGTTTGTTCCCTCTCGCTGGGCGTCGATCGGATGTACACTTAAAAATACACACCGCGCACGCGTGTGCACGAATGTTGCGTTGTCTTAATTTCTCTCTACGACTGCAGCAGCCGCGGATAGTTATTGTTACATCACACACAAAGATTTCTTCTAAAGACTTCTTAAATATCACAAACAATCGTAATAAACACTAATACTAATATAGTGCATGTAGTGATGCCAACTTAAAATCTAAAAAACACTAAATTCCCTAGGTGCGTTTGCTTGGGTATTTTGGTTGGTTGGCAGCAGTGTGTGTGAATGTGAGGTTAATGCGTAGTAAATTATAACACACAACGCAACAGTTTAAACGCGCCGGTACTAGAAATCAATTACCTTCTCGAGAGCCATAAAATTATGCAAAACAACAGCGAGATGTGTGTGAGCCGAGAGAGTTGCGCGTACATCGCGCAGCAAGTAAGAAACCATAAAGTGCCAGAGACGAGGCACACAACTCTTCGCGTTGGCCACGCGCACGCGCCGGTAGTCGACAGTTTCTAGTTTCGCTTTTTGTCAATGCGGTGAGTAGTCAGCAATCCATAAAACACTGCGTTACATTGTTTAATTTGTTCAATAAAACCACCGATACACGCTAATTGACCTATAATTAAGACTAAAAGCGTAATCGGACCACACACACACACACATAACCTCACAAAAAGACAATAAAAAATCTCATCCGAGAAGTTTCGATGAGATAATGTTTGCTTGTCTTAATTAATTGTCAATTATCATACATTTATTAAGTAAATATTGCGCTTTAAACGTGCGATTTCCATGCGAACATTGACGTCAAACGGAATTTTACGAATAATTGTACTAAATAAATCTATGACTAAACTAAAAAAACAATGTTACAAGCACGTTGGAAGTTGAAGTTAATTAATAACATTTTATCTTTGTGTAGTGTTATAACAACGATTATCATTTAATTGTATAGTTTCACTCGTGTACGGATCATTATAATTTGTGGGTGTAGTGTTTTTATCTTTTGCTTTTAATTTCTCGTGTATTGCCGGCGATTTAAATTAAAACTCGTATTTATTATCATGCCAAACAGCCCGCAGCCACCCTCGCCGCGTAATGATTGATTAGTAACGATTAGTTATGTATAACAAAAGTCGGACGCGCGCACAGCGCTCGGACGGGTCAAACTATTTCGTTGGCTCGAGACATTTAGGTTCTTTAAACAAGTTATTATGATACATGATTAGCTCCGAGGCAAGGCAAGCATGTTTAAATTCTTTGGACCATCAGATAACGCGAGTTAACTCAATACTCGTAGAGACATTAGTCTATAACTGAATAATAATAACGATTAACAACAATATCAGTCAAGGTGTTGGCTTTATTTATTACATGACGGGTTTTATCTCTGATTGCTTCGGCATTAATCGATTTTTATATTCATTTTTGTATTACGCCCACGTCTTCTTTGGTTCTGTAGGTAAATGTAAAAATCTCATTTTCGAAGTGTTTAATTTTAGACTGCGACTATGTTTAGTTTAGTTGTGTCTGCAAAAGGGAAGGTTTAAATTATTGCGCTGGGGAAAATTTTACTTATTTTTGGAAAGTGAAATATGCGTGATTGTAGATCTAGATCTGTGAAATGAGGGGATGGAGATTGGAACACATGCTTGCGATGTCATCGTGAGTAATATCTAGGCATTAAACTATGCATTAAAACGTGGCGGAAATCTTAAGCTTTTGGGAGTTTAACCCTTTTTGGAATTTTGGTATTAGTGGTAGAGTCGTGATTTACATGGAAAGGGGTAAAAAGGTTACTCAAAACAACATTAACCACAAAATTTCTATTTTTGGGAAGAGTTTTGCTTTAAAATTTGTATTTTTGGAAAGAATTGGGGGAAAAATTGTACAGGTTAGGAATTATAGTGTTTTTTATCATTTTATGGCTCATTAATAGATGGCGCTTTGAATTATTAGCTTGGAAACATCATAACCTTGACAAAAATTGATTTTTTGCTTTTATTTTTAATTTTTTTGATGTTTTGATAGTTATTTTGATATTCAGAGGCAAAAAAATCAAGAAAAAAATCAAAATCATTCATTTTTTGTCATATTTTATGGAAATTTATAATTTTATACAAAAATTCCCACGATTTTTGGTTTATTTTAGGTAAAATTGGAGAAAATACGATGTAAAATTCCCAAAAAAACAAATTTTCTTAAATTTTTACCGATTTAAAAACATTTTTACACCCTTCCCGGGTACCTATATTATTATTGTGCATCTCTTAATAAACCTTAACAAAATTTAAGTTTTTTGTTTTTATTTTCAAAGTTTTTGATGTTTTAACAGTTATTTTGATATTCAGAGGCAAGAAAATCAAGAAAAAAATCAAAATGATTCATTTTTGGTCATATTTTTTGGAAATTTATAATTTTATACAAAAATTCCAATGATTTTTTATTTATTTTAGTTAAAATTGAAGAAAATACGATGTAAAATTCCCAAAAAAACAAATTTTCTTAATTTCTACCGATTTAAAACCATTTTTGCACCCTTCCTGGCATATTATTATTGTGCATCTCTTAATAAACGCCTAACAATGGTAATTAAAGCAGCCGGGTTAATTGAAAGGTGGATAAGAAGAGTTGGTTGCTGCGCGAGCCCGCGGAACGTCGTAAAAACAGCAGTCGGTTGTTTTGTCCATTGGTTCCGCTTTCGAAGCGCTTTATAGAAAAACGCCTGCGATTTTTATAGCCCTTCGCATGGTCGTTACTCATTCCGCCGGGCCGTGTGTGTGTGTGTGTTTGCAAATTGCATTCAATGCTTTTTACCTCTCGCTGCAGCCCCGGCTCAATCATCATACATATCATTAAATATCCCATTTTGGCCGCGCTCGAATTTCGGCATTGCGAATCCAATTAAGCGACTCAAATTAACTAGTAATAGTAAAAATGTTTTCTTGCACACATAGAGAATTTTATTGCAAATTTGTTTCGGGCGCGCGTTGTTTTTTCTTCTTTTCCTCTTCTCTTGTGATATTTCTCTGGTTTACGATCGTGTGAATCTCGACAGACAGATGGAGCGTAAAAATCCTCTATTATTTGTTTTCCTCCTGCCGACACTACCAGTCTTGCGGTGCAAACATTTGAGGAAATCGATTTAAAAAAACGCGCGCGCGTCATTTCCACATTCCGAGAAAATCCTCGAAGCTATTACGCTTGCGGACGAGATAAATGATTAAACTCACTCGCTTTCGGTCGAAATCAATCAGAAGGATAAGAAGTATTGCCACGATTTGGAAGGCTTTAAAAGTGGAGGGCTTTTCTTCATTTATTCGATAATTCGCACACATTTATACCGGACACAGCCCAAGTGCGCTTCATTATCCGCCGTCGATTGAGTCATTTCATCCTTAACACATTCCCCTCGTGTATGAGATTAATGCGTGTTGCGATAATTGCGTAAGGGCCGCCCCCACGTGTACTAAATTCGTGTAAATTCATGTACGCCTACACTACACACAAGAGGAGAATAAGAAAAGAAAAAAAGATTAATTAAATCGTAAACGCACTTTCATCACAAACGCAGCGCTGATCGTAAACGTTTTCTTCGCATGAATATAATTAACACGTTTTTTTTATTGTGTTTGATTATGATTCGTCGGTATCTTAGATATACTCGTATTTACCTTTATTTCGGTAATCGTGTAATGCAAACACAAACACAAATAAAAGTTTCTAATTTTCGAAAGTTTCACAAATAAATAAATTTCAACTTTATTCCACTACAAATCACGCATGGAATGTCGAATTATATTGATATATGTGTTTTGCACTGCACACATTATTCATTTGGATAATTTGATATTTTGCTATTTTCCTACAATGTAAAATTCACAGACACGCATTTAAAAACACAAAAAATTAAATTTTAAAAATAATTTAACTAAAAATTTAAATCCGACCCTGTGGGGTAATATGTTTGTGCATTTTATAATAACAACAAATATTTTTAATATCTAACCTTCAAGGACATTGATAACAACACACATTTCAGTGTTTTTCAAGCAAAAATTCAATTTCTGTTTGCGTTTGCGTTTGAAAACTAAAATTAACCTTTAACCCTCGATTTCCATTGAGTTAGGACATGGTAGA